AGTGGATCCAGCTAAGCTGGCCAGTGGAAGTGATGACTTTTCTGTGAAGCTGTGGAGCACTAATGAGGTATATAATTATTGATGAAATCTATCCCAAGATGTAGACTTAATTCATGGGGTTACCTTCTTTTTTTCTAACATCATCTAGCATAACAAAAATAACTACTGAGGGATTTTTTAATTTTGCAGTCATATTTATTTGAACATCTAGTTGACCCCAAATAGTTAGGACTTACACTTTTGTTATTCTTGTATTAATTTGAACATCTATGTCTGTAATTGGCAATGCCGGTTCAATCACGTCTTTTGTTAGTCAAATGCTGGATGTGCATCCATATAGAGCAGATTGTAAAAGTGAGACCATGAATTAGGATAACAAGTTGCTGCAGGACTAGTAAAACAAAAATAAGCTTGTGTCGTAGATCTTCATTTATAAAGGGTGCTTTTTTAGACTTAATTGCATATCTCTGAGTATATGTTGAATCATAGTTTACCTTTAATGCAAATTTGATATATGTTCTGTTAAAAGCAGAAGAATTGCATTGATACCATCAGGAATACGGCCAATGTATGCTGTGTCCAGTTCTCTCCATATTCCTCCCATCTGTTGTCTTTTGGAACTGCCGATTACAGAATCCACTGTTATGATCTGAGAAATACTAGAATTCCTTGGTGTACACTTGGTGGACATGGAAAGGCTGTCAGCTATGTGAAATTCTTGGATGCAGAAACTCTTGTATCTGCGTCAACTGACAACACCCTTAAGATTTGGGATCTAAAGAGAACAAGTGGAAGTGGTTCATCTTGCAATTCTTGCAGTCTGACCTTACAAGGTCATACAAATGAGAAGGTTTGCTGCTTGTTTGTTATTGCACCCAGTTTTGGATATATGTAGTAATAACTGCCTTTGTTACCACTGAGAAGTGCTTGTGATTTCTGCAGAATTTTGTTGGTTTATCTGTTTACGATGGATACATAGCCTGTGGTTCTGAAACAAATGAAGTAAGTGCACTTACAATATGGCATTGCCTTTTTGCCCCACTGAGAAATGAATGACAGTCTTTTCTTGTAGATGGTCTTTTGTTTTTCATGCCATGTGGGTTATACTTTTCTCCTAAGATGCATCAGACTTCTTGTTCAGTATAGATGCTTCTGAATGATGAAGGCAGTTGTTGAAATTTCATGCTCAACTTTTTACTGATTATTGTTAGTGGTATTGGAAGAGTAGTAGCTCGTGATGAGATATCCTTTTAAATAATTGACTAGTATATAACTTTTGACTCTTTAATCATGATTGACATAGTGTGTTCTGCAACCTTCCCATGGAAGTCTTTGCTTGAACATCCAGGTTAGAGATGTTTTTGATTGAATAAGGCAGTTGTTGAAATTCATGCTCAATGTTTTTTCTGATTATTGTTATTTTCCAGTAGTATTGAAATAGTTGTAGCTCTTAGATGTACTACATTTTAGATGGTTGACAAATATATAACTTCTGACTCTGTAAGTATGGTCAACTTAGCATGTGCTGCAAACTTCATGTGGGAAGTCTTCATTTAACATCCAAGTTTTTTGGTTCTTTTGAGATATGCTTTTGGATTGTCAACATCAAATGTAGTGTACTACAAATATTCCGGATATGATTTCCCATTATTGTAAATCATAATTATTTTCTAAGTTTTGTTTTTCTAATATGCTCTGCAGGTATATGCTTACTATAGAACTTTTCCTATGCCAATGACCTGTCACAAATTTGGTTCCATTGACCCAATCACAGCACAAGAGACAAGTAATGATGGTGGACAGTTTGTGTCAAGTGTTTGCTGGAGAGGGAAGTCAAATATGGTTGTTGCTGCAAACTCCACTGGAAGCATTAAAGTGATGCAGCTGGTTTGAAAGTTGTTTCTTGCTTTACCAGATCCATTGATATTCTTACCAGATGAGGTCTTGGAGATGCAAAAGATTTGGTAATGTTCTTTGACAAAGTTTCTTTTAGATTGCTCCTATTCAGAAATGGTCTGCATCTCCGAATATGTATATATACTGCAATTTCTCTGGCTCCAAAATTAGGTTCATGGGTCTCTGCAAAGACCAGCATATGGTGTCGGGACATCTTGAGATTTGAAGCTACTTGCTCACAAGGTATTCTGCAGATCCTCGGCTTTCTTGAGTTCTTGCATTCTCTTTAATTGCTTTGTTGATTATACGCTTATGGCCTGGATATCCAAATTGGACCAGCTATAACTGAAACCAACACACTAACCTCATCTACTTGTATTCATTCCGAGCTGATAAATGATGACGGAGATGGTTTTACCGGTGAATCAGAAGAATTGTCCTCCAGACTTCATTAACCAGTGTTTCATCGAGAGATAATATATTTGGGCTGATTCAAGGTAAATAATGAAGCTGCAAACCAGTGGAGTTAGCAGATCAGAACAGTGATTGGATGTAAATAAATGAATTTGATGGAGACTTTCAGTTGGAATCATCAACCAATCAGTTATAGAATTTGATCTTCCCATGTTGGTGGATGTGCATGACATAGTGCTTTTTCTGGCTGGTGGTGGAAGGCACCACATATTTGCGATTTTGATTCCCCAGTGTTGGCATTCTTTTGAGGTACTTGATTAAACTTTTTGGATAGTGTAGATTAGATTAGAAGGAAGTTTTATTGCATGCTTTTCTTTATCGAGGAAAGTTTGTGCATATCCTTTTGATGCCATTATTGTAAATGAAAATGATGCTTAGATGTACATGCGAAATTAAGTAAAGCTTTTAGCTACACATTATTTACTGCCTGCTTTCTTTCAGGAAAGTTTGCTGGATGCTTTGATGCCATTATTGTAAATGAAAGTTCACTTCAGAAATTTTTATTTCAGATATATTCCCAACAGGATTAGCGCACGGTAGCAGAAGGGAATAGAGCAGCAGCGACGCTAGGCACGGCACAGGCGTTGATGGCGGCCGTGAGAGCTCAGGTCAGACTGATGTCTCTCCTTCCGGACGTTGGTACATTATTCTTATTGCTCATGTATTATATATATACACACACGTACACAACAATATTGTTTGATGAGAAAAAGAAAGAAAAAATATTGGCCGAGATGAAAGAAAATAGATGGGATATGATTATAATTATTGGCTATACATACTATAATTCTGAGTTAAATGTGTCACCACTTTGTCATAGTCTTTGAAAATTGATCACCACCAAATGGATGCGGGGAGCTAAAAAATATTGATTCATTTCACACAGTTAAAATGTCATACAGCTGCTTGCGTGCTTGCTTCCGGAAGATAGCTTCAGAAACCCACCTAGGAAACCACGACCATCAATCAGAAAAGAAAATATCGCATGATTCCTTAGGTGGCTATCGTTATTCTAGAGAGCAAAGCAAGTGTCCATCAAGAAGAAGAAATAATAATAATAATAATAATAATAATAATTTATTGTTAGATCTTATATTTTTTATTTTTTATTTATCTAATTATCTGTCCTATTGTAAGATATGATAATTTATTGTTTTTGCTACATCTAGGTTCGTTGCGCGAGGGGCTATCGCTACCATGTGCGATCACCACCTTTGTGAGTCACAACCATCGTTGTTCGCATCCATTGCACGAGGTGCTACAACCACAATCGCTGCAGCAGGCAAGATTGCCACCATTGTGCACAGCCACCACCTGCACGGTTGCCTCGCCCACACGTGGTTGTGCAAGTGCATCGCTCACAACCCCCACGATTGTTTGCGACGTGATTATGCACAACACATGTCAACCTAGTGACCCCATTGGCCTTCGACATCCAGTGACGTTGTTGCGACGAGCAGATGTCATCGCAACAACATTGTTGCAATCGTCACAACCATTATAGGCAATTGCGATGTTGCTGCAGTCATCGCACGAAGTGACAATGCACAACCACTACAACCATCACGAGCAGTGGTGGTGCTACAATCGTTACCGCACCCCACAATGCTTGCATTGGGTATGCGGTTATTACTCACGACGGGGCTGACGACCATCGGAGATTACCATCTTCAATAATACTATTATCAACAATGGCTCATTGATCAAGCACGAGTAACTTTACATTACCCGTAAGCAGGTGATAGTATAGATCGGATAGAAAAACATATCGATAATATAAATGAATCGTTCATACATATCATAAATAGAAATTGATCTACGAGCGTCTAAAATTTATAGTGATATCGATCTGCAAAAAGAACTAGACTCACATTTTTCACTCTTTCTATCCTTCACAAGATCACGGAAGATGAAAGAAGATATGTAATCTTTCATTAACTGGTTCACATAACTAAAAGGGAGATAAGAGAAGATTTCTTAATTATATCATGCATGCACATTATGTGTAACTCGTGATTTTAATTCCTCTATAGTTTAAATAATTTTATATATCATTTTTATTTTTATAAATTACTACTAAAAACTCCTTTATCAAATAAACTAATTAACCAACCTACTCAATTATCTCTTAAATTTTATTAAATAAACTAATTAATCAACCTACTCAATTTTCTCTTAAATTTTATTAAATAAACTAATTAACCAACCTACTCAATTTTTCCTTAAATTTTTTCAGACTTCAATAGAGATAGGCTCCACACTTTTAGTTATTTTTATCTTCTTTAATACATCTTTTACTTCATTAGCTATAATTTTATGAATAAATCTATAATTTATTAAATCTACAACTATTATTTATCATTAAATCTAGATCTTTTATGAAATATTCATTAAATAATTTATAAAAATAATTCTTTGATCTTTTCTTAATTTTGTTATAATTAACCATATTTTTTTTATCCTCCTCTTTAATGCATCTCATATTATCTAAATTTTTAAATTTTTTCTCTTAACTTTATTAAGGTTTTCACTTCAACCTTTAGTTTCTCGTAAATCTTATTAGCCAACATAATCTAAATAATATCAATATTATCCTCATCTAAATTTCAAGTCTAATAAATTTCAAATACGATAAGCAACCAAAAATCAGCATGTATAATATTATTGGTAACCAAAATTTTCAAGTCTAATAAGTTTGTTTCGTCGCTGAAATTAAAAGGCTAGACCCTAGTTTGTAATCTCCAAAATACCTCTTTCCATCCAGAACACCCTTGGGGATGCTATGAATAGACCGGCAGACTGACCAGATCATACCTTCGTCAGTTGTTAATGTCTCTATCTAACGAGAACAGCAGAGCATCTGTTAATGTCTATCTAACGACGCAGCAGCATCTTCATGAATCTGCATGGTGCTGTCGATGTAAAGCATACTTGACGACCTCATAGAAGGAAACAACAATGCCGACGGAAGGCCCTGCTCGTCCAACTCGTGGACCTACACCTGTGAAGAGACCCTTTACGCCCCCGCTCCTGCATGATATAATGGAGCACGATGCAATTAGTAGACAAAGTGGAAGGGCGAAAAGTATACATGTCACAACGATTAACAATCCTCCAACATCATCTGTGTTAAGCAAGACGCAGCGCTAAGGTATTATGGGACAGACAGCAAATCTAATTTGCAATGGATGCAAAAGAAGGCATTTTATGGTCTCGTTGTCTGCGCATAGCCTTTTCTTTACATTGTGAAAGAAGCTAGTGCTATATGATGAATTATTCCCGTACCTCCAAATCTCCATCAGAGTCTGCCTTGTAGTCATGTTTAATGCCCTTGCTGGATCCTTCTGAAATGAACATGCCAATGGCACAAATTAGTTAACACATTAGAGGTTGAAAGTATGCTAAATCTGGCCCTTTTCACACATTTGCTATAGTTCCAAAATAATCTCACAAGTGCAAGTTTCGATTATAGATACACTAATCCATTTCAATGAGAAGATGAATATTGAATAACCAAATCACAAACTCTTAGCTTATAATGCTGAGCTTCAACTGAAGTCACACCACATGCACATCCTAATGATAGAAAGAGAGAGTTGTTAACAAACCTCTATTTGTCTTCGTGTTTTTGCGACATCAAGTGGACATGTTGCAGCAGCAGCAAGGCTGCCTGCTACAAAACCAGCTGCGAAATTTGCCCCTAACACACTAGCAGAATTGCCATCCTCGTCAATAATTGAAAGTAATCTCCTCCGGATCTAAACAAAGAGCAAACCAAATATGTACTAGTACACAACTTATTTACAACCAAACATTTCAATTCACAAGGGCTACCCAAATAGAATCAGAGATAAATATTACCGGCTCCAGAGTTGACCAGCATATAGCAGAAAAGGGAACATCACGAGCAAGTTGTGCTCCCAAACCTGTCCATAAAACACGATAGCCTTGCACTGTTTGCAACAGCATTAAGAAATAAAAGATGTCAGGATTTGAAGTAAATGAGCCATTTCAGGTTCAGTTAGCATATTTTCAAGTGGGAAGCAAAAGAAGTGGTATGTTGGAAAGGGTAATGCAGAGTTGAGTTTATAAGTTGACTTCTCATAACAATGTAGTAAGCTCAAGAACTCAACATACAGCTCTGGTTACTTGTAGTACTGCCAGATGTCAGAACACCAACTAATGTTTTCCACATTCCTGGGGGCTTAGCTCCTTTGATAAATTCTTTATACGCCTGTTGGTGGCACAGCAAGTAACTAGTCAAAGAGTTGTCTCAAAAATTGGCTCTATAATATAAAAATAAAACAGAAAGAAAAATAAGAAACCAAGGTTATAATCAATTAACAGGTAGTTTTCAAGAATCGGGCAAGAAAGTAGCTTCAGCCAATTTGATGGCTCGATCAAATTTACCAATTTTATTGGTTATTTATTGCTCAAACATCATTCAACAATTTCTCTAGTAATCAATAAAAACTAAACAGAAATTGTAACAGAACCATTTAGATGAATGGAACATGTACATTATTCACATCCTAATTCATCGTTAACAAGGTGGAAGGTTCGACCACATTGATGGCTCAATCGAAGTTGTTATTTTAATTTGTTATTCCTAGATATCAAACAGCATGTGCTCTAGCATAAATTGCAAGGTAACATGCCTTCAGTTCCAACTAGATACAGAGCCATTATGGCATTATCAATGAACAAGAATACTATGGAACTGAACGAGAAGACCATTAAGAATGTTTTTAGATAACCATATCAGAGTTCAAAGCAAGTTCTAATATTAAAAAATATTAATGTAATATGTCATAATATATCATGCATTAAGATATTATACCAGTGGCTAAACCAATCAGAAACAGTTATACTTTGCCATCTGTTTTGCCTACCTCAAATGCAAGTTACAATGGCAACAAATTAACTTTTCAGTCCTTATCTCAAAGCAAAAGTTTCAAACTGTACCCAACAAAAAATCACCAATTACTATGCCAATCTATCAATCACATTTCCAGCAAATGATAATCTCCGGTTGAAAATATTTCTCACAAAGCTTGATGATGAAGTTCCACTTACACTTCTACAGGGCATTATTTATTCAAGTTTAATACTTTCATCCTAAAGAATCTCAGGTCACTGATGGTAAGAAGAAAGGTTTACGTATGACAATAAGCGGTAGACAAGTTTATGTTATGCTCTTCTCTACCAATAAAAGGAGATATTTAGTTATGAATTAAAATAAATATGAAGTAAAGTTAGCAGCAAAAGAACATACTAGGAATTCATATAAATTTCTGCTCCCAAGAAAACTAAACTATGGCAAGTTCATATCAGTAATGTAAACGTAAAGTAATCTCAAAAGTGTTGGCTTGGTAGAATACAAAAGTTCAATACAAGCAGTACTAACAATGAGAAGCCCCATAGAAGATGATGTGTTGATGAGGTGACACGATCCATAAGAAGTCATAACACATTATAAAATTTACCTGCATACGTGTTCTTGCCAGCTCAATCGGAGAACATGCTATGCATGCTAATGACCGTGCAGCTGAACCAGCAACTAGAGGGGCATAAGGCGTCAGATTTGGAGCATTGGTGGATGTGAACTCCTCAATCCAATTGCGGAATATGTCATAGCATGGTAGGTAAATTCCCACCTGTTTCCAAATTTGAAAAGGTGTCAAGAGGCATCTCCATGTACATGATTGCATATAACATGTGAAAAGAGCTGGACAAAAAGGCATTTCTTCCACATTGACTGGTAGCATCAAATAAGAAGCATAAGATTAAAACACCTTCTCACTAGCACAATGGGTAACAAAGCCCTAGTCCAAGAAAATAAAAAGTAATCCATTCTAGTTTTGAACTAGCACAATGGTAGGCTCAAAAAAAGACTAGCAAACAGGTTCAGGTCTGACTATTACCACTTGATGGACACTTGGTACCATGACTATTACGTGTTTGAAGAATTTGAATATTACAAGTCTACTTTGATCGGAAAATGTAACATGTGTACGAGGGTCCATATTCAATTGAATAAGTCCCTGACAGTAAAATGCTAGGAAGCTCCATTATTGATATTGACAAAGGTAGATTCTATTCAATGTTACAACCATCATCTCATTAAACTTTAGCATCTCTTAGCATTTTGTCATAGCATGGACCCAAATTGGAAATAATACATATAACAGTGTAAAAGATAATAAACAGGTATACAGTGACAATCACACAACATAACACACAGTGTCTACGTGATTCAGCAAAAAGGCCAACACCCACAAGTGGTGGTGGCAAGAGCTTCATTAAGGTGGAAACAAGTACAAGAATAGCGTTTAAGTTCAGAAACATATTTACTGCTCGCTATCAACTTGTAGTTAGATGTATTAGCTATAGTAAGATATGAAATAACGCAAACATCATGAACAAGATTGCCAAACAAAGATGAAAAAATCCACAATGTTAGAAGTTAGAACTTCTACCAAAATTATTAATTTCCATCATCTGACAAAGTGAGTTCATCCAACTAAAGGAGCGTCTTAATTTGCACTATCAAAAATAGGTCTGTTTGGGTTTTATTGAGTACTCTAAATTATAAAAAGTTGTCCATATTTAAACAGCAATAGTCATCTTTTAATAGTTGCTCACATAACATCTGTCATAAGACCAGCTTTTCCCAGGGTACATGGTAAAAACATGAGAAGTAACATGCTATTGTGCATCCGTGAGCAGAAGTTATCAAAGAAAAGTCAGAAAAGAAACTCACAGTTGGTACAGCCAATGCTAAACCTGCATTTGTGCCTCTCCAGAGTCTTGCAAAGCCTTCCTGTAAATTTAAGCAAACAAAAAGCAATGAGAATTGGCTTGTTGAAGTCAAGGAAGACAGGTGGACCAGTCACTATGTAAGATAAAAGAATACAGCACCTGTCTCACAACTTTGTGAAAGACATCTAGCGTTCCCTTGTACTCAAAACAATCAGGAGGGCAAACTAATTCAGCACGAATTATTCCAGCACGAGCACATGAGGGTGAACATCTGAAATCCAAAAACATCTGAACCACGTTGTCAACATTGGTCAATTTCCAAAATTAAATGAAACAGGAAATACCTGTAACTTAGAACTACAAAAACAATTACCATAGAACATTGAGATGGCATGAGTTCCACGAAGGGGGTTTCAAAACTTGAAATTGTGAATTCATAAAACATGGGTAATCTTAACAAACAAAAGTAAGAATTCCCTGGGGGGCACCTGCATAACGAAGCATAGTTCTATGTCCTCGGAGGTGTCATGCTCAAATGATTTGTACTTTTTACCTACAGAGTTGATTGCCTACTGAGGTACAACTTCATCAAATAAATTCATAGACAATGTGGTCTTATTTGCTAAATAGACAGAAATATATAGTTTTTTTCTTTTCTGTCTGGTTCAAGTGATGAGAGAACCAGAATAACAGCATAAGAGCTCCTAAATTGAGTTCTCACTTGAGGGTATGTTTATTGCTCAAACCCCTCTATAAATCTATACCAAGCCTGAGTGTCAATACACCTCCTATGAGATTGCACAAGAATAACATCAGACAAGACTCACTGCAAAATACTTAATAAATAGCTAAATCGTATGCAACTGTTGATGTCAAGTTATCTTTATCGTTTAGACTGGTTCGAGTCATCCTGTTGATAACTCTTTTAAGACTTGCCAAGCCCTTGACAATATCAAACACAAGATATTGAAAACCTAAAGGTGATCAAATAATGTCTTAACCAGATAATATGTAGGTTACGATCTAATAAAGTCTTCCCCTATCCATCTACTATAGGAATTGTGCATTGACGACCAATAAAAGCAACCAAAGATTCACGAGAATCGAAAGCGTTGTTCACATACTACATCAAATCACACAATATAAGAAGGGAAAGACGGACAGAGATCACAAGCACACCATGTTTGGTCCTAGCGATGCCATCTGTCTACCGAAGTGATGATATGGAACTCCAGCCGCCTGAGCTTGCAACCTTGTCTGCAAGAATCAGGCAAGAGATCAATCAGAATCAAATATCCTGAGCAAAAAGAGTAGTGAAAGAACAAATCTCATCATCGCAGCCCGTATATCCGAATCGAATTAACATGCCACCGATAGAACGCATCTCCAAATTCTCTACAGAGGAAAAGAATGGTCAAGCCAACCTTGGCAACGTCGAGGGGATTGACGAGGACGGCAGAGATGACGGCGGCACCAGCGGCGGAGAGAGCCCGCTCCCGGAAGCCCATCTTGTAGTCGGTGGCGGGACGTGGACGAGGGTCCGAAGTCGGCAACGCCGAGGAAGAAGTCGACGGTAGTGAGCGAGACGAATCATGGGGTGTAGAGACATCGTAGGCGCGATCATTAATGGGTCCGACGGCCATCCTTTCGGGGAAACCATGCTCGGAAGACGAAGAAGAACCCACCATTGCGTATATCTCGCTAATGCCTTCTTGCGACGATCGGTGCGGCGGAGGAGGGTTAGAAATATGGTGGAAACAAGGATTCAAACGCTAAAAGAAGGAAGAAATCGGGACAGACCGGTGAAGGTGGGATCGGGAGGTACCAAAGGCGACCCGAGGGCAGAGAGAGAGAGGGTTTCCCGGTCCTTATTCCTGGGGGAGCAACTGCGGACGATGACCTGTCCGCTTCTAGAACAACATAGAAACCCTCACGCCGCTCTCTCTCTCTCTCTCCTCCGCGTTATATTCCATGTAGGCGAAGGCGGGTTAGGGATAAAATGATAATTCAGAAAAATTAAATATTCTGTGAAAATATATATA